ACCAGCCTTCTGGTTAACAGTCAAGTGTCTTAGGCACTAGGCTACCAGAGCTCCTTGGAACCTCTATGAGTCCCTGGTTATTCAACAGGGACAACCCTTGTTTCCCAGTTTACCTCCAGGCACAGTCTGAAACACAGATGGAGAGCATACAACTGGGTACAGAATGTAGGACCGATCTGGGAATCCTGGTGTCCTGGAGGCCTGGGGATCATGGCTTAAACCCTCGGATCCTGTTCACCTGCAGGCACTACCACCATGGACAGGGCCCCTCTCAAACATCAAGGGAGAGAATACACCTCAGCAGTGAGAAAGCCTCTGCCTACTCTAGTCTTGGGTTTGGCTTGAGGGCCAGGGTTGGAAGGCAGCCCTTCCTTGAGCCCTGCTGAGAGAATTCCAAAATTTTACCTGGAATTCCTACACAAAGAAAGAGACTTTGGGCCTGCACCCTATACTTTGGAGTACATCTTCCATCATGTTTTATAGTGAGCTGGTCCTCAGAACCTTCTCCCCTAAAGGCATCGTGGGCTAATACATATTTGTATTCTGTTAATAGGAGCTCTGGGGGTGTGGTGCCTAAGGCATTTGACTGCTAACCAGAAGGCTGGTGGTTCAAATCCACCAGCCACTCTTCAGAAGGAAGATAGGGCAATCTAATTCCGTAGAGATACCTCCTTGGAAACCCAAGGAGGGGTCGCTATGAGTCAAACGACTCCATGGCAATGGCAGTCAGTTTTTTTTTCTTTTTAAATTCTGTCAATGACCTCAAAAGCTTACTATCCATACCTACTTCTGCAAAATTTGGAGAGGATGCTTCTAGTGGAATCTACAAGACTCCGTGAAAGTGACCACACAAAAGGACCACAGTTGTGTCTTGCTCATTTGTCGCATAAGACACGTTCTCAAGTCTCACTTTTTGTGGCCATAGAATTTTTTGCGTCGCTTCAAAGAGAATCAATTCTCCTTGCTAAGGGAATACCATTGAGCAAAACTAGTTTTCACTAAAGCTATGGTGAAAGTTTTCTGTGTAGAGAAATTTCATGGAATTAGGCATGGAGAGCTCTGGTAGCATAGTGCCTAAGGCAGTTGACTGCTAACCAGAAGGCTGGAGGTTTAAACCCATCAGCCCCTCCTCGGAAGAAAGATGGGGCAATCTACTTCCGTAGTGATAC